GCGCGGGTGAATTATTAATTTCCTCGAAGATCGATAATTCGTTGATCTCCGGGGGGGAAAAAAAACCTCGTCGGAAAAAAGGTACTATCTAAAATAACATGTGTCTGATGTGCGTTGGTATGTGCGCGCGCGCGCGCGCGTGATAAGTTGCGAGGGAAAGAATAGAAGCGGAAATGCTCAAACATTGAGTATTTTGAAGTGCAGTGCTTTTTCCCTCGAGCAAGAAAATTACACGTCACATATGAAATAAGTAGCTTTATTTTATTACATTGAAGCGTAATAATATTTGAAATTTTTCTCCGTTTACGGTTTACGCGTATTAACATCTCTCTTTTCAATTAATCACGATTTAATTCGCGACAGCGAATTATAAGATTACGAAGATGCGATACGTTCATGATTGTGAAAAGTGCGCTATGCGGTAACTATAAAATACGAAAGTAACATGCATTCTCTCGATTTTATTATGTAAAACGCAAGCTAACATGAGTTATTCTCTCTCTCTCTCTCTCTTTCTCTCTCTCTTCTCTTCCTCTTAGGTGTCTGCAATATTTGTGCACTTACGTTCATATGTACGTACGCCGTGCACGGAATGTTATTAAGCATGATAATAATTCGAGTGGAATACCGCAAACTCCTCGTAGCGACCGATCGTAACGCGGCGATAAGAGCGAATTAATTCCCTTGATGCTAGCTTCGCTAGAGCGATCCTACTCGCGTCACGCATATAGCAGTTTACATTTCCCATCATCTGTTCTCAGAAAATTATAAGAAGCTGTTGCTTTTACTCTGACTGATCCTATCATTGCGACGCAATTTTCATAAAAAATCTTTGCAACTCAATCCTCGTTACGACCCTGAGCTCTTCTTGCATTAAAAAGATACTTGGAATCTATCTATTTATATTTTTCTCAAAATTTTAGTTCGAAATTTTTTTAAAAATTAAAGTCAAAATTTTTTTAGTAGTTCAAATTGACGTATTGAATAATTGAATAACGTTTACGACATTAAGACAACGACTTTGTAAAACGAATTTCTTAAAAATTTGTTGAAATGCCAAATATATTTAAGTCAATTAAATGCTTATACAATTAAGAAAGATTATCGGTTTAAAAATTTAAATTTAAATTTAAAAAATTTAAATAATTACAATTAAAATTGAAATTACACATATATTATATATATTAAGGTAAGATCAATATCAGATTTACTCATTTTAACTTCTATGTCACATTTAGGATATTTATAAAAAAACA